CGTTAAAAATCGGTCCGATAGTTTTCGAGTACCTAATGATTTTGCAATCCAGATTTTTGAAAAAAAATTGAAATTTTTGCAAATTTAACTGAGCCTAAATTAGGACTTCTAGATACTTGAAAGTTTTATCGCATAAAAAAGGGGCTCAAACTTTAAAATGGGTCCAGAAAAATTGAAATCCGTTAATTAGGACAGCCGTGGTAACCGTGGTGCGTAATTTTTGCGCTTATAAACAAATAGAATAACTTCATTATAAATATTATTTTTTAAATTATGCTTTTAAAGTATTCGAAAAAACGCTTCTTTAAAAAAAAACGTGGTGATTCGTTAATTGGTTCCAGAGTTATAGTCGATCAAAGTTGACCGGCATTCGTGGCGTAACTACGAGGTCTGGAGGGCTGTTTTTTTAAACAAATAACTTTGTAATTCCGAGTACTTTCCGGGAGAGAATTTGCAAAGCTTGCGCCCTTGTGCAACCCATGTAAAATGTGGATTAAAACTATTCAACCGAACATGAAACTCACGAAGAATTTATGGGAGATAGTGGTGGGGGGACTTCAAAGCTCCGGCCGACACGAAATTGATATCGCGCGTTCAAAATAGCGTCGCGCTTAAAAATTTTGCTTATCACGGCTTCTAGTGCTCCGATTTTGATGTTTTTTTTTAAATCGATGTCTCGCGAGCTGAAAAATAATATAAGTACTTTTAACAAAATTGCAAAAATATTGTATAAAATTTAATTACGAATCTTTTTTCCTCCTCAATTTTTCTGAAAATTAACAGTTTTCGAACTGTGTTGAAACAAAGAGAAAAAAATTGAATTTTTTCCAGTTTTTTAAGTATTTGTTTAATAATAAGTTTAGCACACGTTTTGAAGCGCGCGCACAGTGAAATTATGTTTTGTTATATATAGTTCTGGAGCCGTTAAAGCAAAAATTAGCGGTACTATATAAAACAACTACATCAAAACAGATCCCGCCTAGTCTAATCGTGGAATAGGCCTACCGGGAAAACCACGTCAAAAAAATGCGCCAAATACACTAGGTGGCGTGGAAACGTGTGCACATTATGGAGAACACAACTTTTTTAATCGCTATATCTCAGAAATGGTGATTCTTGGAAAAAAAAATTAAGAACAATTTTTATAGATTGCATGAACTACAATTTTTGTCAGACCTATTTTTATAATAAAACTTACCGTTTGGCTGAAAAATACAAAAACCCATATTTGCGAACGTTGACTTTGAATAAATTTTTTTGCAGATGTGGGATCGAGGGGGACTTTTCATATTTAATTTATAATGGTGTTCCCAACATTCGTACCAATTTTAAGCTTTATGCGAATTATTGTAAGCTTACCCCTATTTTTTGAGCTACTTTGACAAGGTTAAAATGGGCTGTTAAAGTGTTCGACAAATAAGTAATGCACAAAATGTAGAGTTGAGGCGATCGAGGAGGTATTATGCACCAAAGCCTGTATACCTTGTGACGTTGCCATAATTATTGTTTTTATTAGTCTACATTATACATTATACGTTTTCAATAATTACAAATTTTTCGCCTTTTGAAAGGGCAAAATATATTTTTTTTTTCACAAAACGGGTTAAGGTTTATAAAGACTGCACTCTAAGATTTACTTATATTTAATAAGTGTGCAGAGGCCTTAATAATTAAAAAATATTTATCTGTGATTAACAAAGCCCCAGAGGTATATTTTATATTACGTACTTAATTTTAACATATCGTTTTCATTATTTTGGAACTGCAACAGAAAACTGCAAGGTTCAAATAAGAAACGAAAATATATGAACCTAACAACACCTTAAAAATAACGGAAAAACAGGCATCGCCCAAATGTAACTGTAGTCAAGCGAAAATACATTGGGACCATTTACAATAGGTCAAGTTGATTATCCCTCCATAATCAGTTCAAAAGGGAACAAAATTATATCGGACGTAAATAAATCTACGTATATATCTCTGTATATCGCGTGTATGGTAAACATAGTTATATGTGTAGTGACAGTATATATACATACAAACTCCGAAACCACGACATTTCAGTATGTTCTTTGTTTTTATTGTATTAAAAATATGTAATGGAACGATATTTATTCGCTAACAATAACCATCTGTCAATTATCGCCGAGATCCCCGCAGTGATGAATTAAAAAGTCTTGAAATAAGGGAATTGAAAATGTAATTTTCTAACATAATTCATCATACTAAAGTTAATATTTAGTTATGTTAGCGCACCAAAAAATTTAAACTATAATTGTTCCAAAACTAATGGTCCGACAGCGCCTGCTTTGTGCACACTTAAAGTACATACAATTCACTACTTTTGTGATAGGGTTAGTCAGCTCTACAATTTAAAAAATGGCGGATGGAATTTTCAAAAAAACACTCAATTTTTCGACTTTACCGGGTTTTTTTCGTTTCTAATTATCCTGTTGGATCGATTGACTCCTCGTTTTATTCGTATTTCGATTATCTACAAATAGTCTCTTTATAGCATTTAGATTGCTTCGTTAGTTTTATAAACTAAAAAATGCGTTTTTTGCATAAAAATTTTTATAAAAAATTGATTAATGGTAAATTGGAGTAGGAAATATATAAGCACATGTCTTTTATATGACTGGAAGACTGTCTTTTATATGACGCACAGTCCGTTTGCTACTAGTATTTTTATCACAAAAAAACTCTCTATTGATTGCCTCTTAACCCCCTCGTAGGGGTGAGTGTGAATTTAATTAGCATGTGGTTCTGTTTCATAATTTAAAAGAAAGAAATGACGTAGACTAAATACTAAAGGCGACTAATAAGATTGACATCGTGTACAGTACTCACCAATGGCAATGGTCCAAGAGTATAGACGGTGTTCAAGAAAATAACTTTTGAAGTTATCTTGTACTTCACTCCATGCTCCAGTTTTCTCTTATATTAGGAGACCCAAGAAGCTGTAGACTTGCACCAGCACATTGAAGAAGAACATCAGTAGGGACCAACCAAATATCGTATTGAAGGCCTGTATAACATCGCCCATGACAAAGTACAGTTTCTTAAATTTCCTAAACCTAGGAATAGCGTTGCCGCTTATGACTTCGTGAAGAATGCCCCGTACTTATACTGCGCCATAACTACTACGTGAAAGATGAGATGCAAAGGAGTAATATATCGCATGCTCGTTCTCGCTGTTTGAAATATCGGCGGATAGTATGATTAGCAATAATAAGTTTCCTAGAATGAATATGCACTTGGTATCAGATGTCATAATGGTTGCTTTCCATTATCCGAACCTTCCGAAAATATTCCTCCCAGACCCATTTATTGGTTAGTGTTCCCAGCAGGGCAACAACGAAGAAAATTAAGCTTCCAAGGTCAGCAAATATTTCGAGAATTATTATTTCTGTGCCAATAGTAGATGTTGAATTCTCGTATAGGTAAAGGAGAACTGGACACATTGTTGCTACAACGACCATCAATAACACGCAATTAATCTTGAATATCATAGGAAACGTCAATCTACCAAGATACCAAGCAGACACAGAAGAATCACTACTGGTTTTGGCAGAATTGAACAATAATTTAGTTGAAGCGCCATGCCATTTTAAAACTGTAGAATCAACGCCACAAATACCAAACGTGTGCTAGTCACACTATTACTTGATTAAGTTTATTGAAAATGCCATTAGTGCCAATATGTATAAATATAATAGGCGTTATATGGAAACATTTTCTGAAATCCATTTCACTATTCAATGCTACTCTTTTAAAATGTTCCAAACCCCATTTAGGCCAATCAATACAACATTAAATAATTGATTTTTGTGAAAAAATTGTAGTAGTGAAGGGACTGTGCCATCATATAAAAGACAATCTGTAGATATATGCTTATATGTTTCCTACTCCAATCTATCATTAATTAATTTTTTATAATGCAAAAAAACGCATTTCTTTTTAGTTTTTTGCTTATAAAATCTAAACTAACGAAGCTATAAAGAGATAATTTGTAGAGAATCGAAATACAAATAAAACGAGAGGTCGGTCGATCCGATCGGAAAAATTAGAAACGAATAAAGAACGAAAAAATCGGAATATTTAGCGTTTTTTTAAAAATTCATTGCACCGCCATTTTTCAAGTTGTAAAGCTGACCCTGTGCACAAAAGTAGTATTTTAAGTGTGCACAAAGCAAGCACTGACAGACCATTAGTTAGCAAAATTTCTGGATGCGTTGGAGGTGGTTCCATTTAAATTTTTCAGTCGAATTTTAAAAGTAGAAGTATAATACTACAAAACGTATGTTCTAAGTTTCCGATAAAATGATGCACCAAACATGCTCAAAAACGGCCGAGCGCACGTACGCTGTCAGAATGTCCTTAACGGTTTACAAGGACACCTAAATATGTATTCTTTGGAACAGTATATTCTGTAAGAAAACCTTCAAATTCACGTTTGATGTCAAGATTTCGCGAAAATGTCAAAAAATGCAGGAACAAAGCAAGGAATGTCCACAGGTTTCACATTATTGTGATTCCGTGTATTCTTACGTGTATTCTGTCACTGTGCACGCTTAAATTCGGTGTAAAAGCAGCTGGTTCTAGTTGTTGACAATATGATAAATTGTATACCTTTCGCATTATTTTATCGGAAAATTAGAATAAGTAAATAAGTTTTGTATGTAATTTCCAGAAAAAATAAATAATAAAATAATGTCCAGAAATTTTGCAATTGTGCCAAAACTAATGGTCTGTCAGTGCCTGCTTTTTACACATTTATGTATGTACATATAGTTCACTACTTTTATGCACAATGTCAGCTTTACAAGTTAAAAAATTGCGGAGCAATGAATTTAAAAAGAAACGCTAAATTTTCCGAAGTTTCTGGGTTTTATTCATTTCTAATTATCCGATCAGATCGATCGGCCTCTCGTTTTATTTGTATTTCGACTAGAATGGGGATATGGGCAACGTGACATCACTTCCGGCCTGACAGGTTTTTATGATTGGTGGCTGACAGCCTGCTGGATGACGATTGGACCCTGACAGATTTATTTAGTTAACCATTGGTTCTTATCAAATTTGCCGCAAAATATTCGTAAATCGGAAACAGCGCGATCCAGAATTTCTGTCATCTGTCGGAAATATGTCGGTTTTGTTTTGGTGTGAATTTTAGGGTAAGTTGTAAATTTAAATTTTGATTATTATTCCTATGTTTATTATCTAGATTATTCAACTTTTGAAAATAATAAATGACATTTTTAGAAATGCATTTGTTTATATATTTCATATTCGGAAGAAAAACATTAATACCTATTTATACTTCCATTTATATACGTAAAAAATACGTTGTATTAACTTTCAGTAATTTTCTTCTCACACAAAATATATTAATCTTTTGTTAATAAAATCTATTACGGTATTGAAATGACAATCCATTTAGTGTGATTTGTTTTAATTTAGTTCAAACATTTGAGAATACAAAAATATAATTTTAATAAAACTTAAATGGAAGTATGTTTAACAAATGTGATAGTAATGAAATTAAAATCTTCGTTTTAACAATAATTTAAAGAAACTTATTTACAGATATTTATAATTACCACGTTCATCAGCGATTAGATTAAAATAGAAAAGAAGTGGAATATGGTACACTGTATTGTATCACGGCTACCCAAGGGTGTGAAGTAGAATTGGAATGTAAGCAGTGCAATGTCCAGCCTCGCTTCCAACCTTTGGTTCTTGACAATTCATTAGACAGTAATTAGTTCCTGACAAATTGTTTATCATCACATAGCTGGAGTAGTTTTCCAGGAGTAGTACAGCGATTAGTTTCTATCGTCTGACTTAAATTTGTTTTACTGTGATGGCAAGAATGCAAATTATAAGGTAAGTTTTATATCATTTATTATATATGGCAAGCACTCGGGCAAGCACCAAAGCGATTATTTCTAAATGATAATAAACTTTTTTAGAAATAAATTGTAATTTTAAATAATTTACATTAGATTCAAAGCAACCAACACCGTTAGTTTCATGCATTTACGTACTACAAAATACATTATATAATAATTAACATAAGAACGCATAAAGTAATGGACATTTTTTTTTAGGTTGGCTCGAGTTGTAATCTAGACAAAAATTCTCTAAGACAGACAGTTATTGATACATATGCTATATGAACTTGCAAGAGACACAATTCAAGGCTGTTCTAAAAAATATTTACAGAGTATTGCTGGAAAGAATACCATAAAGTTGGAAGACCTAACGAGAAGGCTAACATAGTTAATATTTTGGTGAGTATTAATAATTATTACTGATCTGATGCATACAATTTATTATCCACTTAAATATATTTGATAAAGAAAAATATGTTTATGTTTTATATTCTGCAATAATTTGCAATATTTTTCTGATGGAATAAACTCCAAAGTAATATATGTAATTATTTACTAATGCAAGCATCTTTGTAGATACTGTTTTCAAGTGCAATATTTAAGAGAAGCAAAATATGAAGAATTATTAGCAGGAAACTGAAAAATTCAAGAAAGAACATGTTCACTGAATGATAAAACCTCTGTGTTTCAATATCATCTATGTTGTCGATTACCACAAAATGTGTTATATTTAAGATACGGTAGCTGTTGTAGAGCATAGTATCGATTTTAGTTAAACAGAGAAGAAAAACATATCAATAAATAATTCTTTCCTGCCTGCCAGAAATAATCAAGATTCTCTATCGACTTGATATTCGAAGTTCCAGACCAAATGTCTGGTAAGTTTATATCGTCGTTACGTCTTCAAAATGCGACGTGCATATTTTCAGTAAAACGCGTTAAGTTCTGCACATTCGATAAACAACATCAAAACGCATAATCTGTTAAAAAACAGCTATCTAATTTTTTACAGAATTGTGACTGTCTGCGGTAAAATGAAAAATAATTGTAATTCTTGAATAAAAAAGTCAAGAAACAGTTTCGTAACTCCACTGAACAATTTGATGAAGTTCACGTCATATTTTGAAAACAGCGACGAAATATTTTTCTTATTCAGTAATTTAAAATATTCTATAAAATTTGTGGTCAGTAAAAAAAATTCTCTTTTGCAGTATATTTGGCATTTGAAAAGAAAAACTTCCTTCTGAATGAAATATAATGGATATTAAGCAAATGAAATTTGTTGAAGTTCTTGAGATGTGGACATATAAATAGTAATGGACTTTTTGGGGAGTTCTATGACGAAATAGGATGATGCATAAAACGAAATGTCCTAGTACGTATCTATGTTTAATTAGTAGTTAATACTTTTATAATCACTCTACTCTAATTGATAATCGAGATCTATTGAAGATTTTGAAAACGTTTTAAACAAATTTTTATAACTTATTTAATCCATATTTGTCTTGTACATATTAATATTTTTAACTAAATCATATATTAAGTAAATAAACTTGATAGTGTTATATCTCTCTTTAATATATTTCTTCCATTTTTTTATCAGCCTGAAATTGTTAGCGTAAAGTAATAAATAACTAAAAAAATAAAAAGTAAATATTGTTCAACTTTGTATAATAGGACCTCATTTCTGTATAACTACTGATAATTTGTTTTTAATTTTTTTTCAGTGAAGGCTTTGGAGAACATTAAGAGAAAATTAATAATGGTT